GGAGCCCCTTCTGGGGCTCGTCCGGGTCTCCGCTTGTGCGGATCCCCCCCTCGGCCGCGGGCGGGCGAGACGCCTTCGGGAGCGTCCCGAGGATGCGTCCGCCATTTGCGGAAGCCAAACCGGAAGCCACCTGGAGTGGTAGAATCTTGAAGAGGCGGGGAGGGCGGGATGTAAGTTGAAATAAATTAAATAAATAAATAAATAAATAAAATGAAGGGTACCACTTCAGGTGAGGGGGGAGGATGCCATTTTGGAATGGTCGCCAAAGTTAACAACAGAAAAATCTCCCTGCAAATAAAAGTCTAGCAGATCCGGAAGAAAAGTTCAAAACCAGCCCGTTTCCTGCTGTGCTAGTTCTTTCCTTGTGAGGACCATGTTAATAAATATGGTGTCCAAAAATGGTTTCTTTCAATATGCACTTTACCCCCTTACCACCCCATTCTTCTAGCACACTACCTCTCCGTGTCACATTCCTGTTTAGCTGTTGTGGCAAAAATGGAACCCCCAGGCTCAGAGGCAGTATATTTTTGAATACGAGTTGTAGGGGGGAGGGAGGTGTTGGCCTCTGCACCTGCCTTTGCGAGTGTCACAATCTGGTCTGTGCCACCAGAGGCCTACTAGGCCCAGGGAGCCTGGCTAGCAGTAGGTGAGGCTGGGCCTACAACTCCCAGAAGCCCCTGAGAGGTTTTGGAGCCAAAACTGACCAATAGGAAAAGAGGAGGGCTTGGAATAAAAGATCTGGAGCAGCAGGAAAAGCTGTTCTTCTTCCCAGGGGACAGGGCCAGAAGGGACTGTGGCTGCTGTGGGGAAGGGTGAGTAGTCTAAGGCCACTTGAGATAGTGAGCTAGGGACAGTATATATCTAGACGCGTTAGGGCATTTGATTTCTTTTCTTTTCACCCACTTACTGTTATTATTCTGTACCTTGGCCCCGTTCACACGGAGCATTTGCCGCGCTAAAGATACGGATGATAGGTGGATTTTCCGGGTGCGATCACACCGCAACATTTGGGAAGTGTAGTGCACCCGTGGCTAACCCGTGGCTTCATGCCGAAGATACGGAGTAAAAAACTAGTACTTACGATGTACTAGTTTCCTGAAAACGCGGGGCAAGGGCGGGCGTCTGATCACATCCCGTCCTAGTCCCATCGCAAACCGGTTAGGTTTTTTTTTAAAGTCTTCACAGGATGCCCAGAAACGATCATGCGCATGCTCACCTTTTGGTGAGAAAAAAATATTCCCGTTTGCCACAGAAGTGGCGCCTAGCGATTGCTGGTGTGATCGCGCCACGCCACTTCTTTGCCGCGCTGCAGGATAGCCATGTGTTCGGCACCTCACGCCCTAACCACGGGACCTCGACGGGACGTGTGATCGGGTGGCCGCGCATTATTTTACTCCGGGGCAAACAGCCACGCTTCCCCCCTGCATTTTCCGGCCCGTGTGACCCGGGCCCTTGTTTGTTTGACCTCCTATAAAATAAATTATTTTCAGTGTTCACTCTGCCTGGTCCGCACGCCTATTATTTGGCTAAAAGGGAGGTCTAAAGGTCTTGGGAGGGTGTTCTGGGCCTTCTCAAGGGATCCTAGATCCAGAGTGGTGGCAGCGTCAGGTGACAGCCCACCTGAGCCGTGAGAGGGGGCTTTCTGGGGCATCTGTTTGACCACTGTGGAAAAGAAGATGCCGAGTCCCATGGATCAGTCTGCTTCGGCTGGTTTTTCTAGCATTTATATGCTCCATGTCAAGACCAAGCCATAGTCTTGCTGTCTGTTTTACCACTGACAGGAAACCTGATCTCTGGAGAGAGCCCAGGCCCTGAAAGAACGGACTTGGGCACATACAAAACTGAACCTGCGATTAGTTTGCACTTGGTCAAGATCCTGATGCAAACTCCTGGGGACTCCGGCCGGTGACCTGAGCTTTCGGCCACCTAGTGTGCTTTCTTTACCAGTCCCCAGTTTTCCCAGCAGCCTCCTCTCCAGAGCTGTTCTCATGTCTCCAAGGCTAAACAGTCCATGTTTGGCAGGACGGGGGACTCTCTCGGAAGATATTTGTTCAGGCTGAGCTCTGCCACAAGAGTTCTCCAAATGGGTCAGGGCAGGAGATTTTCGAGAAACCGCTTGGATTCCAGTGTGAGCCAGCTGTCCCGTGTTGCCTGCAGCTGGAGAGCGGAGCTGGAAAGGCTTCTCTCTTCCTCTGTTTGCCATTTGGCATGCCCAGCGGCAGGGGTCATTTCGTAGAAAAAGAGCTAGGGGAACTCATTAGCATAACTCATTAGCATATGCCACCCCCCCTGACATCACCGGAAGTGTGTCATAAGGCCACACACCCCGCCCCCAACGGTCCCAACACAAACAATCAGGGACCCAGACAAAAGCTGTCTGGAAGATCCAGGGCAAAACTATATTCAAACATATCGGAACAAACAACACACTCATCTTATTCCATATTGTCTGAGGCCTAGCTCATTCGCCATACTTGAGACAATATATAGCAAGAGCTCCTTCTGAAAGCGGGATGTACCATTCCAATTCACAGTGCTGCAAAATGGTTCTGAAGCCTCTTGAAATCAATACTGCTGGCATGAAACATTCAACCATAAAGTACACTACTGAGAAATACAGTAAGACTACAGACGGTTTCAACTTCCTCACCCCTGCTATTTTGACTTGAATGTTCCTGTTTCTGTTTCATTTCTCCCCTATGCATACAGAACCTATTCTTTAAAAAAAAATCCCTGCATTAAAATCCCTTCATAATAGTACACATTTTCAATGTGTGTCAATAAATCAGCACTACACATTAATGTATATAAGTATATTTACTGCATTAAAAAACACAACTATGCATTGTATGTACACAGTTTAAAAAAACCCCACAACATAAAGTTGAGAACTTATTAAAATGTGGACAAAAATTAGGGTTGCCAAATCGTTCTTACCTTGCGGAGGGGGGCTCCCATTCGGCGTCTTGAGCCGAACTCTATGTTTTCCCCTCAAATGGCTGTGGCCCCACCCCCAGCGTGCCTGGCGTCATCACGTCACATCCGGGTGACGTGCACGCCGGGGTGGGTTTTCCCCCAGGGCCCGATTCCGCGGCGGCGGAAATCGGGCCTCCAAAGCGGGGGGAAATCCGCCCCCCGGGGGGAATTGGCAGCCCTATGGCCACATGACCACGGAAACGTCTTCGGACAGCGCTGGCTCTTCGGCTTTGAAATGGAGATGAGCACCCCAACCCTAGAGTCGGATTTGACTGGCTTTCGAGCAAGGGAACCTTTACCTTCCTTTTTTAAAAAGCTTTTGTTGATGGGTGGAGGGCTGATGATCCAGCCAGAGGAGGAGAAGTGACAAACTTGGTGGCCTGGAGTCCTCTTCATTTTCACTCAGTGTACCAGTCATAAAACTGGGGAGTAATAGGAACCATGCAAGGCGGCACAAAGCCACGCGGCAAAGGCTGCTGTTGATTTTACGGGCTTCCTGTGAGGAAGCCTCTTCCATGTAGGAAATCGCACAAAACTCAGGCCGCTTCTAAAAAAAATATCGCAGAGCAGACTAAGAAAGCCAATCTTCAGTCAAATAAATGAATGTTCGAGCAACTAAATGTCGGGTGCCACAGACCTCTTGATAATATGAAACAAATGAGAACATTGTTAGCCGCTTGAGTAACTTTTTAAAAAACTGACAGGCAAGGAAAATTTACTAATGTAAATGTTGCCATGTCTGGTGAACATATTAGGGTTGCCAAGTGGCACTTACCCTTCCGGCGGGGGACTCCAGTTCGGCTCCCGGTGCGCGTGCCGCATGCACGTCACCGGGAAGTGACGTCATGACGCCGGGCATGCTGGGGGCGAGGCCACGACCATACAAGGGAAAACCATAGAGTTTTCCCTTGTATGGCCGTGGCCCTGCTACCAGCGTGCCCGGCGTCATAACGCCACTTCCCTGTGACGTGCACGCTGGGGCGGGGTTCCCCCCGGGGCCCGATTCCCCGGCGTCGGGGAACGGGCCTCTGGGGCGGGGGGTTTTCCGCCCCCCGGGGGGATTTGGCAGCCCTAGAACATATACAGGTACTTCACCCCTCCTTCCCTCCATGTGCATGCCGTGTACATGTGCTAGATGACTTATTATGGGCAGAGTTCCCTGTAAGCTGCGTGCATGAGTGGCCGCTCATTAACACAGGAAGCCCTGCCCAGCCGCCGTCTGGAACCACGCAGGGTCTTGCACTGCCCAGGGCCCATTTTAAGATTCCAGCAGTCACATTCTGCTCAGGATGTGAACTGCTCAGCTCAGCAGGGGGGGGGGGG